CGGCGATCTGGGCGGTGACGGCGACCTCGACGAAGGCGTCACTACCTGCAAAGGACAGTCCGCCACCAGGTCCACCGTCTGCACCGAACACCCATGTTCCTGTAATCGTTAAATCAAAAACGAATTTCAATTTTTTTTCAAATTTTACAACAATTTTTAATTCTTCGTTAAATCAAATTGAACCTTTCAAATTTTTTAAATCACATGTCTTGTTATTCTTTCAAAATTCTTCTAGGAAATGAAATATTGAAGTTTAGAAAAAAATAGTGTAACTTTTATGAATGGAAATTATTAGAATACAGAATTTCTATAGATTCTTTTAAAAGTTTAAAATATCAAAGAATTCTCTTTAATGAATTTGAATAACTTAAATTATTGATAGTATTAGTAAAAAAAAATGATTGCTAATGAAGGATTAATATTTTTATTTATTTTTTCTTTTTTTTTAATAAGTTAAATGAGGATTTTGAATAAATAGCACGAAACAAGCATCACTTCTAACGTGAATGTAAATTGAAGTGCTTGCACGGGAAATGAGCACTATTCAGGAGACTAGTTTGCATTACAGAAGTGCACTTCTCTTTACAACAGATAAATAGAATGGCTGCCTGAGGTTCGTGAATAATCAAAGGATGTCTTAGAAGCAAGTTGTGTACGTAGATGATTCAGAAATTGAAATAGGAGTCTCGTTAGAGCCGTTGTTAAAGTAATTTTGGATGGAATGGGTAAGTGAATCGTCGACTTGATTGCAGCAATTGGAAATGTGTGTATCTACGATTGAAATCTCTTATTTGTTTGATAAAAAAAATTTATAAATATTATAAATATTACGAATACATTTATTGCATGAGATTTATAAAAAGAATATCAAGTATTAATATATAATCTTTTATTGATATAAAATCACAATTTATTTGAATCTTTTATGTTATAGAAAATATCTATTAAATATTTTTAAAAATTTATAAAATATTAAAGTATTAAAATATCTAATGATACAACAATCAAAAAACTAAATTTAAAAAAATTAATTTAATAAAGTTTTATTGCAAAACTTGATTGCAAATGAAATTAATTATTTTCAATATTTCTTATTCAAAAATTTTTCAAAAAAAGCGACATTTAAATAGTTTATATGATAATTTTAATTATAATTTACATAATTATATGAAAATTAGACTTAAAATTCTTATATATATTAGACATATCTTTTTTTTATACAATATCGAAATTTTTTAATTTTAATTTCATGATAAAAATGAGATTTTGCTTTAGAATTTAAATTAAAAAAAGAAAGATATAACAAAACAGATATAATCTTTTTGCATCATATATTTAACCATGTTCGTACAAGGATTATTTTATGTTCTCACCCGCATCTTTCGTTAATTTATTAAACGACAAACACATTAATAACGATGTAAAAATAAAATCCAGACATTTACTAAGAGATGATTCGTTTACTAAGGATAGAATATAGTATATTGCGTTTCTTTGAGTGTGATCATTTTGTTGAATCGATGTAAATCTTAGCTCTTTCTACAAAGTGGATTATTAATTCGTCTCATAGGCGTTCAATTAGCCCGCGGGTCCGGCGTGAAATGAATTATTCGTCGACGCATGCGCGTTCTCGGCATGTTTTACCGCGCAGCGGAAATTTACTGCTGTCGCCTCGTATAAATAGTAGACATGGCCACCGTGAAATTTACGAACGACCAACAGATTGTCTCGTAAAATTTCTACGTCGCTGTCTCTTCTTTTCGTTTTGGAAATTGTTCATTTTCATAGTGAAACAATAAGACCCGGAAGTGAAGAACTCGTATCTTCATGATGGACGTGAAATCTGTGCAAAGAATTTTGTGGTTATGGTGGTTAGATGCATTTTTCATGATTGAGGATTAATGTGGGTTCTTTTAGAAAATTATGCAATTTTCTTCTTTCCGTAAATTATAATTTACTAGGAAGATATTTTATAGTGTTTTTTGTGTGAGACGAAGTGATTTTTTCATGTCATGTTAAGCATGTTAATCGCAAGAAAATTTTTGAACTAACATTAAAGTATATGTTTATATCAATAATATATCATATCATATCATTTAATATATTCTTTTTGATGAAAATGAAAAAGTATAATATGTATATAATTCTAGATATACAGAGTATTATAGAATTATAGAATAATTCTAGAAATACAATTTTTTCTTATTTATGTTATAGAATAAAAATAAAGTAAAGGAATTAAAAATTAAAAATTAATATAATAAATACATTATATTTTTGAATTTCAATTAGAATTCTTCTATAAATGATTATTTTATAAATAAAATACTTTATATTTTATAAAAAGCTAAGAAATATTTTTAAATGTTGCAGATCAATATCATCTTTATTATAACCTACAAAACCACATGCTTACTCTCAACCAATGTAATTCTATTATAACGATTCTTCTGCAAAAACAATACACGTGTATTTTTCATTAAGAAAAGGATTCTTTTTTTAGGATCCCTTCACGTTATCTTCTCTTTTGCACGAGCATGTTTTCCATTAAAACGAATCGACTCTCGCGACTATCCGTGCAATCTTTCAACAGCGTTTCATCTTCTCCTGCGTGTGGACCGATCTTTCGAAGACATTCCATGCTCATGGTGGACCCGGGCTGCAAACGCGTTCCTATGAATTATTGCACCATTAACGTGAGTAATCGCGCCGGC